GGTTTCGATTCCCCACATCGGCACATTGTGTTAAGCCCATTTCTGGTGTCCCCCGCCGTGATATTGCTGGAATATTGCTAAAAGCGGCGTAAAACTAAACTCAGTCAGTCAGTCCTGACCTAGATAATAACAGAAAGTACATCAACGCATCGAAGCTATACATATAACAGATTTATCTATGGTAATACATTACACAAAGGTTAAGTGAGTGAGTGAATTGGGTACAATGGCACATAAACCAACGTATCAGTGTTATATCACAGAGAATACCCAATTTGAAACACGCTAATTGTAAAAGATTACAGACAGTATTTCGGTCACTTGCTGCTTTTTTATTGAAGAACAAAAATCAGAAATTGTAGCACTCTCTATACGGTGTGTCAGACTTATGAAGGTCAAAAATAGCCAAATATCTTAATAGATGATGTCTTTCCACTGGCTTACCCACTTGAACGAGAAATTAAAGAGGCCAATAAAACTGCCTCGTGTGTTTCATACTTAGATGTAAGCATAAAATACATGGCAAGAGGGATGATTTCAACGCTTTATATTAGCAACATCCTCTGCCTTTTAATGACTTTAGGCGTAAGGTCAAGGATTGTGCTTGAACGAAGATTTAGAAGAGCATCACATGACTCGTTGACAACACTCAAGGCCGTCAAGTTTCAAAGGTCAAGCTTTCCCAAACGTTTTCTGACAGACGCGTGGAAAACATTTGGAAAATGATATCTGGATCATTTATAACTGTGTATTAATTAGGTATAAGTTTGATTTGCTTTTGTATGTGTTTCACATTTTCGCGAACACATGGTGCATCTCACTATTAGATGGTGATTCATAAACACATGCTTATGATACTGCCTCAATCCTACATTCAGGGCTCGATTTAAGAGATTTTAACCTACTTGCACCAGGTGCAACCTAAGATAAGAAGCTAGTTGCACTAGTCAAATTCCAGTTGCACTGTTTTTATTGTAATATGTAATATCAGAAATATGCTATTGAATTATTTAGATGTTTTATTCAGAAGTTCATCCACTCAAAAAATGACTTGCGCCTGGTGCAAGTTAGACTTATTACTAGGTTGCACTTTGTAATGTTGGGTTGCACCGGTGCAAGTAGCAAAGCACAAAATCGAGCCCTGACATTGGACTCTGCTTTTAGCAGAAACCCCTTAACGCTTATTGAAAGGCCTTTGTTATACACGTTATATGCGCAATACAAACTACTAGTAGTTCTTTGCCAAATGTGTTTACTATCGACTGATTGTGAATATCTATGTACAACACACAAATGTCTATAAGCAGTGTGACGAATAATACTGAGCCTAAGTTTACTTAGACTGGAGAGAAAGAGGCACTTGTGTTGATAATTACAGTTTACCTTAAGGACCCTTTGGCTAGATCGGTGGTTAAATAATTCACTCGTCTCATCAAAGCAGTCTTAGAGCTAAGGTGATCGTAACTCCCATACTTTAACATAGACTTACGACTGTCGTAGCCCTACGGTCGCTTTGAGGAACGGGACCCAGGGCCTAGATTTTCGAAGCTCTCTTAGCGCTAAGGTAGTCGTAAGTTAATGTTAATGTATGGCACTTACGACTCTCTTAGCGCTAAGAGAGCTTCGAAAATCTAGACCCAGGGCCCTGGGCCTCCTTTCATAAAGCACTAAGGTGATCGTAAGTCACTAAGGTAACCTTAGGCAATGTTAACGAACGGGATTTAAGGTTAAACTTAGTAAAGGTTGCTTCGTGAAAAGAGCCCACGACTACACAGTGTGAGTGAGTTTAGTTTTTCGCTGCTTTAAGCAACATTCCAGCAATATCACTACGGGAGATATCAGAAACGGGTTTCACACATTGTAACCATGTGGGGAATCGAACCCGGGACTTTGGAGTGACGAGTGAACGGTTTAACCACTCGGCTACCCCACCTCCCCTCCTGGAGTACATACACAACAATACATGTCTATAACTCTATTATAGCTGTTCACCTTCATTTACGGGTGAAACGTTGCTTAATGCCAAGTAATACCATGCTAAATCAATCATCATTAATGGATTTGGACGTTCCCTTTAAAACAGTATATTGTCTGCAGCATATCTTTAATATTACAGCCATGGTACTGGCAAACTTTCGGTTTGGAAATTCTAATTGGTTTTCGTTCACATGGGACATCACTGCTGATATTGTCATAATTTTCGCATTAATGCGGGATATGACGACGACGATATATATATAAACATAACGAAAACCTATTAACGTGGTAATTTCATACTAACATACATATAGTGGTACAATAGCAGTATTGAGAAATATGTTTACCACATGTAAATACAGTTGCATAAGACGTATATTGGGAGAGGACGTGGTGCCGTATTTAGAACGAATTTCGGTTAGTGTGCCAAAGTCAGTTCAACCGATATCATTATGCTCCACCTCGAAAATGTCTACGTTGGCATGCACAGAAGGGTTGATTCTTCGATAATTTTCCATAAAGATTTGGTCAAACATGAACCCAAACGTGGTATTAATAATAACGTTTCGTGTTTCGAGCTTATAGACCCACATTTCATACGTTATCAATGCCGTATGGGATTGGTATATATTACTGAAAATCCTAAGCATAAATAGAATATTTAATGTATGTTGAAAGGAATAATGGCTGAATTATAACAGATCGAAATGACTTCATAGCAACACCTTTTTCAAGATGGCTGGTACAATTTTTTAATGTTAGAAGTGTATTGGCATATGAAATACAAAATGTAGAGCTTTTAAATAATCTCAAGTTGGAGACCGCTATACTTAAGAATTGACTTTGCACTCACCTAATACATTCATCAACATATTGACGTCAGTTCTTATAAATAGATACAACAATAACAGTAACAACTTCACAGACTGCTTATTTCGTTCCAGACGCACAAGACTGTTGAAAACAAATACGAAATAAAAAACATGACCCAGCGCAATCATTCAACTCAAGCCTTGTCCTTTCAATACCAAATAAGGAGAAAGTAGTCCGTTGGTGGGTGTGTCTTAACGTGTTTAATGTTCATAATCATTCAACTCAAGCCATCTCCTTTCTATACCAAATGAGGAGAAAGTAGTCCGTTGGTGTGTGTGTCCTAACGTGTTTAATATTCATAATCATTCAACTCAAGCCTTGTCCTTTCAATACCAAATAAGGAGAAAGTAGTCCATTGGTGGGTGTGTCCTAACGTGTTTAATGTTCATAATCATTCAACTCAAGCCTTGTCCTTTCAATACCAAATAAGGAGAAAGTAGTCCGTTGCTGGGTGTGTCCTAACGTGTTTAATGTTCATAATCATTCAACTCAAACCTTGTCCTTTCAATACCAAATAAGGAGAAAGTAGTCCGTTGGTGTGTGTGTCCTAACGTGTTTAATGTTCATAATCATTCAACTCAAGCCTTGTCCTTTCAATACCAAATAAGGAAATAAGGAGAAAGTAGTCCGTTGCTGGGTGTGTCCTAACGTGTTTAATGTTCATAATCATTCAACTCAAGCCTTGTCCTTTCAATACCAAATAAGGAGAAAGTCCGTGTCCGTTGGTGTGTGTGTCCTAACGTGTTTAATGTTCATAATCATTCAACTCAAACCTTGTCCTTTCTATACCAAATGAGGAGAAAGTAGTCCGTTGGTGGGTGTGTCCTAACGTGTTTAATGTTCATAATCATTCAACTCAAGCCTTGTCCTTTCAATACCAAATAAGGAGAAAGTAGTCCGTTGGTGTGTGTGTCCTAACGTGTTTAATGTTCATAATCATTCAACTCAAACCTTGTCCTTTCTATACCAAATGAGGAGAAAGTAGTCCGTTGGTGTGTGTGTCCTAACGTGTTTAATGTTCATAATCATTCAACTCCAACCTTGTCCTTTCTATACCAAATGAGGAGAAAGTAGTCCGTTGGTGGGTGTGTCCTAACGTGTTTAATGTTCATAATCATTCAACTCAAACCTTGTCCTTTCAATACCAAATAAGGAGAAAGTAGTCCGTTGGTGTGTGTGTCCTAACGTGTTTAATGTTCATAATCATTCAACTCAAGCCTTGTCCTTTCAATACCAAATAAGGAGAAAGTAGTCCGTTGGTGTGTGTGTCCTAACGTGTTTAATGTTCATAATCATTCAACTCAAACCTTGTCCTTTCTATACCAAATGAGGAGAAAGTAGTCCGTTGGTGTGTGTGTCCCAACGTGTTTAATGTTCATAATCATTCAACTCAAACCTTGTCCTTTCTATACCAAATGAGGAGAAAGTACTCCGTTGGTGTGTGTGTCCTAACGTTTTTAATATTCATAATCATTCAACTCAAGCCTTGTCCTTTCAATACCAAATAAGGAGAAAGTAGTCCGTTGGTGTGTGTGTCCTAACGTGTTTAATGTTCATAATCATTCAACTCAAGCCTTGTCCTTTCAATACCAAATAAGGAGAAAGTAGTCCGTTGGTGGGTGTGTCCTAACGTGTTTAATGTTCATAATCATTCAACTCAAGCCTTGTCCTTTCAATACCAAATAAGGAGAAAGTAGTCCGTTGGTGGGTGTGTCCTGACGTGTTTAATGTTCATAATCATTCAACTCAAGCCTTGTCCTTTCAATACCAAATAAGGAGAAAGTAGTCCGTTGGTGGGTGTGTCCTAACGTGTTTAATGTTCATAATCATTCAACTCAAGCCTTGTCCTTTCAATACCAAATAAGGAGAAAGTAGTCCGTTGGTGGGTGTGTCCTAACGTTTTTAATGTTCATAATCATTCAACACAAGCCTTGTCCTTTCAATACCAAATGAGGAGAAAGTAGTCCGTTGGTGTGTGTGTCCTAACGTTTTTAATGTTCATAATCATTCAACACAAGCCTTGTCCTTTCAATACCAAATGAGGAGAAAGTAGTCCGTTGGTGGGTGTGTCCTAACGTTTTTAATGTTCATAATCATTCAACACAAGCCTTGTCCTTTCAATACCAAATAAGGAGAAAGTAGTCCGTTGGTGGGTGTGTCCTGACGTGTTTAATGTTCATAATCATTCAACACAAGCCAATACAATATATAGATATACTAACACACATTGTTTCAAACGGTCACATGTCTTTAGGAAGTTCTCCTTTATCTCCATTGGATTGATAAATATAAGCGACAAAAACATAGTCCATAATTATAAGTAGAGCTTCCTAGTAACACGTTTCAACAGTGCATCCGCATCATACTGAACTCTGTACAAAACTACTGGGTACACAACGGTTACTATACTGGACAAAAATAGTTTGGGATATATATAAATTTTGAAATTATGAACAATGATCTATTTATTCATTGACACACTGATAAAATATAAATCATAAAAATACCAATATCCTGACATATTTTGCCCAGAATATTAATAAACAGTGCTTTCCACACTAATAATAACTCTTGCATACACTTCACAGAACTTGGAAGATGGTCCAGTAAGTTCCACAGCATTTTCCACATTCCCTTCTTCCACAGCTCTTTCTCACTTTCCGCCCAGTGGAATGTGTTATGTTAGATAATCCACAGCTCTTTCTCACTTTCCGCCCAGTGGAATGTGTTATGTTAGATTATCCACAGCTCTTTTTCACTTTCCGCCCAGTGGAATGTGTTATGTTAGATAATCCAGTCAGGTTAGTCTTGCATTTTTTATCATATAGTGATTATATTAGGAGTTTCAGGTGATAAGGTGTCGACAATGACTCATTCGATGAAATATTAATTTCAATAAGGCCAACTTATGAATACATGATGAAAGTTAAGCACAAATTGAATTGACTCTGAGAGTCAGGCACCTAATCACCAGCACACGAATTGTCTGACAATTGGTAGTCTTGATCACGTACTTTTAATACCCGTCTGACAAGTGCCTCCCATTGCCACACAATGACTTGACTTATGAAAGTGGTCAAATGTAACATATGTTATATTTTGGATTACACTCTCTCAGTAGGTGGTTGACTCGAATCCCGAAAGGGACTCAGTCAAAATAGTACCAGAATATGTGGATTTCTAAGAGCATTCTCTTGCCTAGAAGTTATCCGATGAAGGTTATAGCATACAAGGCCTCAGGCAAGCTTTCAAAAAGATTTATGGTAGACATGTAGAGGGCATTTTAATATTCGACGCATCAGTGGCAAAAAATCATGTCCAAGGCATTTTCCTATTTGGTTTAAACATACTTTTATTTCGAAGAAATCTGGATTGGTAACAAAGCAAATCAGGCTTATTTAAATACCTCTCCAGGTAAAAAGTTAACACAGCTGGTTAGTACATGTATACGTTTTACAAGATAGTGCTAAACATAATATATAGTTGCACAAACGGAGTATATAAAGTCAGTATTTTGAGTTATAGTTTCCTATTGTGACTCGCACCATTCGTGCAACTGCCGAGAATAGGCATGTTTTCAGGATATACTCACCTTTTCGCGAACACCTGATATCATCACTGTTTGACAATGATTTATAAAGACATGCTCAGCTTCTTGCAGAGATCTCTTAAGATGTGGATGGTGCTCTTAGCTTTCATTTGGTGACTGTGGGGTTTCTGGTTTAACAGAGTTCATCCCAATTACTAAGATGGATTGAGTCAAGGCCATGAATGACGATGGTGTTGTTCACGAATTCAAGGCTTCGTAAGAGTTACTAACAAAGAAATCAGAATCAGATGTTAGGCATGATGACCAAAGTAGAAGTGTTCAACAAACTGAAGACATCCCTTAGATATAATCAAACAAGTTGTACGGTAGGTAAATCCAGAAACAAACCCTGTTGTTGCTTTTGATCAGTACGGGTATTCGTCCAGAGAATTGGAGTCTACTCTAAGATGGCGTGAGTGAGTGGGGAAGGTTTTCCACCGCTTGTAGTAATATTAAAGGCAATATCACAGCTGGGGACACCGGAAATGGGCTTCACACATTGTACCCTGGTGGGGAATCGAACATGGAGGGGCCTATCTTAAACGTGGTGAAAGTTTTAACCAGCAGGCCATAACAGACCTGCAAAGATCCGGAACAAGCATGGAAGATTTTGAAGATTATTTAAAAGATGATTCCAATTCATTTGTTAAACATCAGCTTCTCCTCATATTTGTTTGGGATAACTACATCCCCGATAGTCTCAAATCAACAGCAAGAATAACTAGAGGAAAAAGGAGTCGAAATTCTGAACAGACCGCTATCATTGCATTTGGTCCGTACAAACGTTCAACCAAACAACACATCTATTCACAAATAGAAGGATTTCTGAATTACCGCAAACAATAGAAAAACGTTAACATCTTCGCCGAACAACATACTTCTTTAGAACGATGTGTCTTACCTTTGGACAGCTTTTCGAGCTGACAAACACTAAGGATATTTGGTTGTTCGTGTTCTTGCAGGACATGGGAAACACTGATAACTTCCTACATCTTATCCATGGAAACAAAAGAAAAAGGAAACCACGTGTACAATGTCAATGTATTAGTTACCATGATAACTTTCACTTGCCAACCAAACATTTAGTTTTGAACAGTTAATGTCAATAAATACAAAAGTTATTTAAAATGTCTGTTTTGACCATATGAGTACAACACATTGGTACAGTTGATTGGCTTTAATGAACTAAGTCGTGAAAATATCCCGAAGACACATATGAATATTTTTTTCACAATTTGATTGCATACATCAAGATAGATAGTGTGTTATGATGCAGTTATGTACCTTTCAGATATGCTTTTATCCCAACCGGCACAAAACCTGTTTCGAAACGGATGAAATCAGCTGATTTTATCACTTAATGTACCACTTATCGGTCCTGAATGTGCACTTTTTCTGTCAAAAGCAAAACGTCACCGTCCATTATACGTCACGCCAAGAAACGAAAAGATGTCGGTATATATTCGTTGATGTTATGCTGTTTTCGTCGACTCGTTTGATCTACGGTATCAAGTGAATGCATGCCTGCTTTTTTGTCTTCGTAAATAATAAAACTAGACTCTGTAGAAGAAAATGAAAACTTGAATAAAACTGGACAGTAAACATCAGTTTGATAAACATCAAACAGGAAATGAAAGACTGGTTCAGATATGAAAATGTTTACAAGTTGGCCGATGACTGAAGGTGAGGAGTGTGACATTTGGAGTGAGTGAGTGAGTATAGTTTTACGCCGCTTTTAGCAATATTCCAGCAATATCACAGAGGGGGACACCAGAAACGGGCTACACACATTGTACCCATGTGGGGAATCGAACCCGGGTCTTCGGCGGACATTTGGGAAATCGACGGCTAAACGTTTCATCTACATAAGGATCGAAATCTATGACAGTTTGGCTAGTATTCAGTGATCAAAATGGTGGCCCTTGTTTTCCAGCGGCCTTTATCAGATATGGGTGTTGCAAGGTGTTGAAGATTTTGAAAACTGAGGTTGATAGTCTCCAGTCTCCACTTGTCATATGTTTGATATTTAATCTAGCTCATTCGAGCTAGATAAGTATATCCGCTAAATGAGCCATACTGGCTTATGGAAACTTATCAGTCTAAATATGTTAGATGATATTTTCATCAACGTAAATGATACTTATATACGAAAATAGTACTTTCCTCCATGTAGGCGATGATTACCTTTCCGTAGAAGATACCTGGGTCTACGTAAACAATACGTCCACGCGGAAGATACTTTCATCGCCGTATTTAGACTCTGGTACTGAAACTGATACAGAATTATAGTGAAGTATTTATGATACAAATAAGACGTCTTCGTTGGAGCCTACAGTGTGCCCGTATCATTTCTCACCCTGTGCTGTTCTTATTTGTGTGGCTCTGTTGGTTACCATCTGTGTAAACAGAAATCAAACGTTTAGTACCATTTTGCCTATATCCCAATTTGTCAACGGTGAAAGTGAAGGGAATGTGGGACACTCCTTTTGCATAAATGAATATGTCCCAAGTATAATTACCTGTGCCTGTATACTACTCTGCTCCAAGTTCTTAGTGACTGACAAAGTGACTGTTTGATCTTGATCTTACCATACTCACATACTTTGGTCATGAGAGAACAGGCTTCTCCATAAGTGAAATATACTGATCATGGAACCTTACCATGCTTACTGTTTCTACATATCGTTAATAGTACGGATTATGTGTGTACACAGATGATGATTATCTCCCAAACATTGTTGTTACAATTAAACCTTGATCATGAGAGATGTTGTTCAAGGATGTAAGGGCCGCTGTAGTACCACTGGCGATCATGTCACTTCCAACAGTGATCCGCTCACCCCCCTGTTGAAAACGCAGAGCATGGTCGTCTCCGCCAACGTGTTCAAGAAGACATCTCCCCAGTCCAGCAGGTGCACAATGAAGAGCTCCATGGTGGATTGAAGAAGCAGGTCAAGAAGGCCCGCCCTAACCTGTATGAATTCATACAAGCAATTAGAAGAAAGAAACGACAGACCATGGTGCAACTTCCCGATCAAGAACACGTGGATAGAGAGACATTGACCAGCGTATGAAGCAGCAGTTTGTGACCGGGAGAAGGAAAGCCATTCACAGGACCACGTGGATAGAGAGACATTGACCAGCGTAAGAAGCAGCAGTTTGTGACCGGGAGAAGGAAAGCCATTCACAGGACCACGTGGATAGAGAGACATTGACCAGCGTAAGAAGCAGCAGTTTGTGACCGGGAGAAGGAAAGCCATTCACAGGACCACGTGGATAGAGAGACATTGACCAGCGTAAGAAGCAGCAGTTTGTGACCGGGAGAAGGAAAGCCATTCACAGGACCACGTGGATAGAGAGACATTGACCAGCGTAAGAAGCAGCAGTTTGTGACCGGGAGAAGGAAAGCCATTCACAGGACCACGTGGATAGAGAGACATTGACCAGCGTAAGAAGCAGCAGTTTGTGACCGGGAGAAGGAAAGCCATTCACAGGACCACGTGGATAGAGAGACATTGACCAGCGTAAGAAGCAGCAGTTTGTGACCGGGAGAAGGAAAACCATTCACAGGACCACGTGGATAGAGAGACATTGACCAGCGTAAGAAGCAGCAGTTTGTGACCGGGAGAAGGAAAGCCATTAAGTTCCTTGACGCAGCAGGATACTTGATTCAGCTTCATTAAGTTCCTGAATACAATTACCCGAGACAGTATCATCATAATATGATAGTAATTAATATAGACATTAGAACTGACTTGGATTAGTCCATTGTATATAGTAGATAGTTACGTGTTTAACCTTGCATAGCCTCTATAGTGGAAATTTGTTTTGATAAGAGTGTAGGCAAAATGGGATGTGGGCAAAATTGGAACATGCCAAATCAAACCATTAAAGTAATGTGTTTTCCATCGATATAAAATATAGACCAAAATGGTTATAGATATTCATAAAACGGTCTACTCTGGATATCTCCATTCACACTAATGACCAATGATAAATGTTATATATTTGTAAGGTGTAAGTACTAATTCATCAAATTACTTGCTTTAATAATACTTTTAAATAACACTACTAATGCGTCCGTGAGTATGTGTTACTTTTATGTGGACAAGCCTCCTCCTCCTTCAGCTATATTATTTCAGGGCAAAACCGTGCTTTGTAAAATTATTCATAGGGTTAGAGCGAACTTTATTTCTTTTCTAAGATGCCAGATTCAATATTTACCAACGATTAATCTAAGGCAGAAAATAAAACAGAAAAACGATGTGGTCGGTGATTTAATTAACAATCAGGCTAACCTTCGTGCTGTTTTATTGACGTGTCTGTCCCCTTCGTTAAGAAGCACGTTGCCAATAAAATACATGATAAAAAGTTTCAATACGGTTTACGTTCAGGTTAGATATGTTCTTTTTAGTATTTGAATTATATTTGCGATTATTGTAAACCACATAGGGCTATATGAACATCGTATTTCTACTTTCAATATAGACAGATCTGTACGCCCAAATGAAGCTGACAAGTCACGCCACATACCATGGATGCATTGTGGGACTGTGGACACAGGCCTAACATTGCCGTGTCGCTGTTTAACCCCTCCTATTCAACCTTCAATTTGAAGTCAAATTAAATTAAAAATATATCACACACGCTTCAAAGCAGAATTGCTGAAAATGACCTCTAAAATTATGAACATCTTAAAACTCGCCATTTTACACACTACATAATCGCCATTCATGGCGTTATATTTTGTATGTTTTATTATGCAAATATCGGATATTTACTCAATTAAATGAAATTAAAAAGCATTTTAGTGATCGGTGGAATAGTGGGTCACAGATGGAGATGGGGCAGATGCTTCTGGACGAGAAGTAGGGAGGAGAAGTGAGAAGCAGAGAGGAATAATGAGACAGAGAGGGAGAAGATGTTGTGGACTTGAATCAGGATCTAATATTAAGGGACAGAGGTGGTTTACATGCTCCTGAACTGGAATCAGAACGAAATATTAGAGATGGGATGCCGAGATTCGTGAATCAGGGAGGAACAGTGACACCTTAAGGGTGTTTTTTGCACTTATAGATCGAGACGTTTTGTGAGAGGAAGATATATAGGAAGACTTTGATATGTAATCATCAAGGATTAGTGACAGATGGAGTTGGGTTAGATGTTTGTAGACAGTAAGCAGGACATATATCTTCAGAGGTATGGTATAAAAAAGACGTAAAAAAAAGTCGCGCAACTTCGTGATTCAAGTTTGTGACTCTAGGTTATTCATGAGCAAATAGAGGGTGAATTAGACTAACATTTAGTCTCTGAAATGAACATATTTTACAGAAATAAAACAGTTCCTAAATAATAATCATAAAATATGATAAAAAAGAACCAGAGACTTTCATCATTTCCAGAAAATTTTCATGAAATTATATTCTAGACTTGCACGGGTTTTCTTGGATGAATTTGTCTCAGACTTGTCACACATTCTAGACTTGCAAGCGTTTTCTTGGATAAATGTGTTTCAGGGTATGTATGACAGCCAAGGAGTCAATATTCATGAGGTTTAAAAGCAATCAATATTCGAGCGCTGAGTCATACGACAGAATGAAAGTTGAAGTGAAAGTTGGTATTCCAGCACACCTCATATTCATATTTGTACTGCATTGTGATTTATAGCAATGGCAACATTGTTCATTGCCAATACTGCCAGTTACTCTGTTTTCATGGTACAAACCCGAACCTCAATAGAGCAACAGTCATATTAATAAGATAACCGAGAAAAAGGCATAGGAAAGAAAGTCTTGGAAAATAAAGTCATCAGAAAAATAACTATTATGAAACATCCTGTACTTGAAACATCTCCCACAATTGTAATATAGCATCCTGTTCTCCGGTTATTTTCTTTGTAATACTGAATTTTAAAAACATAGTAGATGTAGTGATATTGCAGATGATAGTTGTTGTGATCTGTTGTGATGCCATGTATTAAACTTGAATAAATACATTAATTCTATAAGTTAGGTTCAAATGTGGTTCAGAGAAATTTATGTAGTGAAATTGATCCTAATATTGTTATGACTTGTTGAATAAACACATTATCAATACTTAACTTTTTTAGTTTATGACATTTTTACGGATAACTTATTTTCCTACTCAAATCTATACTTTTTTCCGATGACTTTCTTTCCTACAAACATTAATAACACTAGTCTGCTAATAACTATATTTGTCTCACAGGACATTCGATATTCTGCGAGGGGTGGGGCGGGTTGGCGGGTTGGCGGTGCAGAGATCTTGAACGAAGAATAGATATTTGTCTGCACCTTATTCCTGCAAAAACTGCAAACCAAGATATCTTTTCGATTAATCTAGTGTGCCTTACCTTGCTAAAGCGAGTGTTACGCAATAACGACTACAGTCATGACAAACTAGATCTTCATCTATTGTATACTCCACACGTTTACAGCCTTAACATTGGGAAACTGTCATGCTGACACGCCCCCATGTAACACCATGTGGTTCACTCCCATTATGACTACTCCCAGTTTGACTACCCGTCCAATACACAACCTCTTCCAGTTGAGTGGTTTTTAATAATGTTCCACCAATACTTATAAACAATTATAGCTGTACCAGGTTCATAAATGTCACATGTGCTTGGATGGTTGTGTGGGCGAAGTGGGTTTTCCATTACATATTCTATAAGCATACTGAAATAGAGCTGAATAAACTTGGTGGTTCATAGCAATTTGGGGGCTTGACGAAGGGTCATTTGCTATTAACAAACATCAATCATGCTATTTATCAACCATAAAAATATACAAAAATAAATGCCAGATAATCATTGCAGCGTACAAAACTAATATTCTATTTATTAAATCAATAAATAGTAATAACAAAACAATTTTTTTTAAAATCAGTCAATAGAAAATATTCAATTAAAGAATTAATTTTACCTAACGATATACAAATGTATTGTGTTAACATTTGTCTCAGTATTTGAATAAAAGTGAATGATTGACGTTTTCGCCTCAGGTTAGATATTTGACGGCGGTATAAGTAATATAAGTCAATCAATACACTGATATTATGACCAATTACACACGGATAATGATGACACACAATCTCGAAAAGAGAAAAAACAACCAAGTCATGTATCGCCTTAATGAAAAGTTAACTGAACGTCAAGGCCCGTCCAAACTAGACTGTTTTCATTTATTAGTATGAATAACTGAATTACATGCTTCTATTAGTGACAAAACAGGTCGGACGCAAATACAAATGACTAGCTCAAGTCTATAAAGGTATGTATTGGAATATGCCATTGGGAAATATGGTGCCTAAAGAGGCTATTTTTCGTTGTAACCGGACTTCTTTATACGCATTTCGGCTAGAACCTACGCCACCCACCCTATAAGCACATACATTCCCATGCTCAAATGTATATATTCCATAACTGCATAACATTTACATAAAACTATGTTTCCCAATAACTACTCCTCTTGCCCTTTCAATCATCATAGTTGTACACTAAATTGTTGTATCTGTTTTAGGAGAGTCCCTACTTTATTGTGATAACTTGTACGAAATCAATTTCATCATTCCACATTCCACATAGAAAAACGTATGAAACGATTGATGACGGGACGTGGAGAATATTGAATATGTCATAGTTATTACAGTAAATATGATCGTGACTATAATATTAAAACGTCAGTCATTTATATAGCTGAAATACTTAAATCTTAAATTTGGCATTTAGAAGTTGGTGTTTTGAACAACGAAGAGAGTTATATGGATACACAACTTCTTAATTCTTATGAGCAAATTATTATGCTCATAATAATTAAGAAGTTGTATATCCATAGAACTCTCCTCGTTGTTCAAAACTATATACGTAATATCAGTAAATTTCGGATAAAAACGATAGTGACGCAGATTTCTATATAGATAAAAATACATATGAAATTCAGACACTTAAATATCCCTCATAACTATAAATTCATCATAACCATGAATTACCGTAACGCAACAGTTCAAAGTACAGCTGACGTCGAAGTCAAAAATAACATTTGCATCTGGGAATAGATGGCTTTTCCAGGTCTATTTTTAGCCAAACTGCAAACTATATTGATAATATATCACATACAAGATCATTTGTAAACAGATATTAATATAGGAATTGACATTTTACGGTAGTATATGCAGTTAGAGTCTAATGAATGACGTGTAAATATAAATATATAAAAGAGACCATTACATACTCAAAATCTATATCTTTTTACTTACTACTAAAAAAGACATCTTATTGCTACGCGTTTTGAGCATGCACTATGCATGGATATATGCATCATATAAATGGATTGTTATTTTTTGCATACTTAGGAAAACATTGCACCGACATGTAAGTGCAGTTAATTAGTGCATGCATGGAATGTTATCAGTTTAAAGACTTTGGAAATTGTTCCGTTGTTGCGTTTAATGTTTGACAAATTGACAAATAACCAGCGGAAATAGGTTACATTTGCAGAAAATAATTAATCATTACAATATTGTAGATTAGAGAAACGTGAATCAGTCTTAGTAAACCAGAGAAGAGAGACCTACCTGTGAAACGAAGGAAGAGGGTGGATGTTCCCAGAGTCTGGTGAGAAACGGGACCTGTCCCGCAAGGCAGAATATTCCACGAAAAGCACAAGAATGAAAAAAACTGAATTCAGATGTCAGGTATAGAAAGTCTTCCGTTGAGTGTTATCTGATCCTTTGTGTATCGAAGACTAATTGGGGAAAAGACAGGTAATAATTCGTTTGACCCTGTTTGGGCAAAACCCACACATTCATTAATAGCTATTGATATACTTGAATCAATTGGACTTCTTATACATTATACATTGACAAAAATGGTTGTTATACGTCTTATGGGTAACTTGTAGCTATAACATGGATTCTATAAAATAACTAACATGGACTACCTGATAAATATTACATATTAGAGAAAACTAAAAAATACAAAACACAACCAGTATGCTATTTTAAAGTGCCTTTTCCCATGCGTTGAGCGGTATGTCCCATCTATATCGACAAAATTCTTTGTAAAAAGCACACTATATCATTAAAATTACTAAAATGAAGTACCTGTACTCTGACTGAAACGGAAACACAACCTGCTAAAGAGCTGGTACCCTATTTAACGCCATCATAGTGGTAGTCGGGGAAACACCGACCCATAAATAGCAAGTTTGGGTTTTCCCCGTTGTGCTCGATTTGCGCATGCGTCAGTCTGACAGGATAAATACGAGTTGATAGGGAGCGGAGAGGAGCGTCATCTGCATATTGTTGAATTCCGTGACGAAAGACGTACATACGTCTTTGCCAAGCCACTGAACATGGATTCTGGTGGTATTGTCGTGGCTGATGGAGACGGAGGGCCGTGTGTTCCATCTCGAATAGCCACACACAGTCCGCAACAAACAGCTCGTTTTGTGTCTCCTGATGTGGAAGAAACAGAGGCGGATAAACTCAGAAAACGGCTGAACACATATGCTCACTGGTCGAGCAGAAAGAGTGCTTTGCAACTTGCAACTGCAGGTTTCATCTACACTGGTATGAGTCTGTTGATTGAATTAATCTGAATAATATACTTATAGCTTTCTGATACCGTTGGCAACATATGATGGCGGACGTACTTGTAGATGTGATATCGTGCTGGGAGTAAATTCTTCACGAAACTTATAGTTGTATTCTTTGCACATATTTGAAATAATGCAACATTATATGATGATAATAATAATAAAATTATTATTATCATCATAATATTATTTGATAAATAAGTGATAATGTTTTCATTGTTAGGCATCACAGACAAGGTGGAATGCCAGTCGTGTGGTATTCGACTCTACAACTGGCAAGACGACGAGGAGCCTCTCCAAGCACACAAGAAATATGCTCCGGATTGTGAATTCATGATAAAACATTTTCCCCAGATCAAAGCGCCACCTAAACCCAAGAAAATCCTTAGTGTGAAATACCCTCAATACTCTGATTATGAATCCCGCTTGAGGAGTTTTGACTCCTGGCCTCTGAAGTGTGTAGCCCAGAAACCCGAAATGATGGCCCGGTCAGGCTTTTTCTACATAGGCTCGGCTGACCGGGCAAGGTGTTTCCACTGCGGTGTGACGCTGAGAGACTGGGACACCGACGACTATCCACCATGTGCACACCGACAATGGTCAGAAAACTGCCCCTACGTTCAACAGTTAGATGTTGATGGAATGAAAAAGGAGATCGAAGGATGGGAAAGGGAGGAAAAATTGAGGATACAGTTCCAAAATTCAACATTTATTGACTGTAGTGCAAGTAGAGGTTTCATTGATACAAGGTGTGATATTGTCGTCGACGGGCCGCCACAGCCGGAAGCCTCATATGCCACGAACCCTACCCCTGTCATTTCTCAAGCGTCAGAGGTTTCCGACGAGTTCGAAACAAACCCGGCAATCATGGCGGTTGTCGAATGGGGCGTTTCGAGGGATCAAATAAAAAAGGCTATTGATACAAGAAAACAGTCTGGACTGCCACATTTCCTAGCGCATCTGCATTGTTTGAAGCAATCCTTGACATGGAAGATGGCGTCTGAAAGCTTTCAACAAGCCATGATTACACTCCCTGGTAAGTTTAACCAATCATTATTCACAATCATCACGTGACTTAGCATGTCGCGTTGCAGGTTTGGCGTACACACGGAACTAAAGATAGCTTGGCTGTGTGCGGACAAGCTATGTCGACAGTCACACTGAGTGACACAATTATCCAACTATATGTATGTATGTGCCTGTCCGAGGGTCATGCACCACGTGGTAGTGGAAAATAAGTATTACTCCACTGACACAAACCAGTAATGATATTTAAGATTTCTGAATAGTGGTAATTTAGTATAACTAGTAAGGCTGGGGTGGTGCAGTGAGTGAGATTAACAGATGTTGGGGCTTTACATATCTTTGAAATATATATATATATTATTATTCTAAATTATATCAATCAATTATTTGCCCAAGCCAACCGTTAAATGTCATATTCACCTCTTTAATATTTAGAAAAATATTTTAACAATTTATTATATGGATTTTTTTGTCATTTTCAGAAAGTTCACTGCTACCTTCAGCCCCAAAAGGAAGCCTTGGAATAATCTTCCATGAAGCTGGCCTGAGCTCTTCCAGGAAATCAACCAGACCGGGTGACGCAATGTTGCAACGTAATAATTTTTCAGCATCACAACAACTTTAATGTCATATATGTTGTGTCAGTCTTTCTTTCATTTCGTAAATTTAAAGCATTTGATAGGTGACCTGATTTTTTAACATAATCATGTAATATTGCTTTTAAAAACCATCCTGTTGCCGCCTTAAAATAATAGGCTGATATGAAAGATCCTGCTTAGTTCCTCTTGGGCTTTCTGTACTGTCAGCATTGTCATATTCACATCGCTGAAGAGAGATAAAACGATGCCCTGTTACTGACAACCTGGGCAGAGGGGTAGCCTAGTGGCTGAAGCGTTCGCTCATCATGCCGAAAAGCGGCATAAAACCAAACCCACTCACTCACTAGTGACCATCCAAGGAGTGACATGGCTGCAATAGTTTTTGTGGCGAACATCGGGGCTCAAAATGAGTGATAATTTGGATGAAATATTCCACAAGAACTTGGAAGAAGGGAAAGGACACCCACTGAAACACAGATTAAGTTTGGTCATTTGAAAAAGAATAGGTTAGCGTCATTTATGAAATTATTATTTTTGTTAATGGGCAAAAAATAAAGAAAAACCATGTAGTTCTTTGGTGTTTTTGGAAATTGCACAAAATGCATTTGCAAATTTAATATCTTTAAAGGATGACTAGCATGTTAGGAACATTAATTTCTTGGAGTCTTTAAGATGAATTCAATCATGACTTGGAACCAGCTTGTAGTGGTCATGAAATGTAACAGAGGAAACCAACCTTGTAAAGAATATTGTTAATGCAAACAAGTGCTCCAGAATTGTTTGTGTTCAATTATGAGAAAGCATGATCGATTGCTTAGTCGTTTAGTGACTGCGACTGATCTTCGATTATTTCAATTAATCGGACCACCACTACCGATACCTTGCATCATAATATAAAAAGAAGTTATTATCCATAAAATATAGTACCTTTCAGTTTCTTATTATTCATCAATTTCTAACATACCAATCAAACAGATAAAAAAAACAATGACTGTAAAAATAACTTAAATAGCGATTAGCACCAACATAAATGGGGCACAGACACAATGTATGTTTAACAACACCTTAAACGTCGCTAATCAATCCAAAAGCAAACCAGCAGAGAGCTATCAATTTGGGAATGTAAAATAGAAATGAAAAGAAGATAGTCCTTATGCTGAAAAAACAAAATCTCAAAAAATGTCAAAATTTTAAAAAAAGCGGACTAATATCAATATTATATCTTGTTATAACATTACAACACTGCATATGATCTCATGTTATAAGGCATCCAACGAGCATAATGGTTTATAACTTAACCAAATAAATTGTGATATGTGCATTTAACTGTGATATTTCTAATCAGTATTATAGTATTTGTATGTAATGTGAGAGGGCGGTGGGGTAGTCTAGTGGTTAAAGCGTTGGGTTCGAAGACCCTGGTTCGAATCCCCACATGGGTACAATGAGTGAAGCCCATTTCTGGTGTCCCCCGCCGTGATATTGCTGGAATATTGCTAAAATCGGCGTAAAACCAAACTCAGCCAGTCAGTCAGTCAGTCAGTAATGTAATGTGAGTGAGTTTTACACCACACTCAGCAATATTCCAGCTATATGGTGGCTGTCTGTAAATAATCGAGTCTGGACCAGACAGTCTGGTGATCAACATCATGAGCATTGATCAGCGTATATCATGTAAAATTAACACACAATGATACCTAGACTTATGATTATGAAGTAATGTATAATTACTACCTGACAACATACTGTAAATCTAATATTACTGCAGCCACCTTTGTTGTGATATGTTTGAATGATGGTATTGAAAGTATCAGAAAGTTTCAGTATGTCTGCGCAGATCTTAATATCCAAGTTTACTGTGTTGAACGTGGCTGAATGCAGAGAATTGTAATGTCCTATTAACTGTATTTGTGTACAAGAAATAAAAATATGTATGTTTTCTTAAGGATGTTGTAAATGCGTTTTGTCTGAAAATTGAAAGATTATGCATGAACGATGATGGAAAATAGTGTTCTTTTCCAGAATTAAACTTGTTTTGAAGTTTAGCCGCTTTGTAACAGGACAAGTCTTGAACATATTGAATTCCCATCGTGATAAAAATGAGTTAACATTGCTTGACATTTTTCTGAAGCAATTTGAGAATCAGGACAAACATTGAAAAAACCTATTAGATAACATGGTGGTAGTGTAGCAAACCAAGAAATTGAAAATCATATGTCAAGTTTCATTTCATTTTGATTTTAGCAGCTCTTCAAGAATCCCATTGATCTGTATTTGCCTTTGTGATAGAAAACTCATGTTGACTTGTCAGAAACATTTTGGGTGATGTTCCCTGGAACAGAACACTATGACCATCATCTTCCAGAATTTTCATGTCTTCGCAAACTTTGATAGAAATATCATCTAATTCATGTCTTAGCAAACTTTGATAGAAATATCATCTAATTCCATTCTTAGTATCTAATACAATGGCACCTACAACCTGCTAAATGAGCCTTTGTAAAGAATTGGAAGATGTGTCATATGGATACTTTGACTGACAGAGTTTGGGTTTTATGCCGCTTTTAGCAATATTCCAGCAACATCACGGCGGGGGACACCAGAAATGGGCTTCAGGATACTTGGAAGAAGGAAAGATTGTTGATATTGGGAAATGTGTGATAAGGAATGGGTGATATCTGTAAATGTTTGAGGAGTAGGTGATATCTGTAAATGTGTGAGAAGCAGTGGGTGATATCTGTAAATGTTTGAGGAGTGGGTGATATATGGAAATGTTTGAGCAGTGGGTGGGTGATATATGTAAATGTTTGAGAAGTGGGTGATACCTGTAAATGTGTGAGAAGCAGTGGGTGATATATGTAAATGTTTGAGCAGTGGGTGATATCTGTAAATGTGTGAAAAGGAGTGGGTGATATCTGTAAATGTGTGAAAAGGAGTGGGTGATATCTGTAAATGTGTGAAAAGGAGGGTGATATCGAGTGGGTGATATATGTAAATGTTTGGGGAGTGGGTGACATGTATAATGTTTATTGAACTGTGTCAGAATTTCTAAACAGTAAAACAAACCCAGATAATACTGAAGTTAATATTAGTATAGTCTGTGATAATGTAATGTAACATTAACATGTTTAGTAATACTAAATAACTAAAGCTACAAGTAGTGAGCTAAGTTAAGGAGGAACAGCATTGTAGATAGGTGTGTAAATAGATGGGTAAAACAATGTCAGTTTTATAAAGAACTTCCCAAAGAGATGTTTAGATTTCCTTAACATTTTATTGTACAACCGACCTAAAGAGAAAAGAAATAAAAAGTCTCACATTTATGTACAACAATAACTTAACAATCTTTTAATGGATTGTTTAGGGGAAAGTGCAGTTCAAAGTTTGATACAGATCTCGTATTTTGTTGAGAATAATCATTATTAATGATTGTTCAGGTGAAGTTTGGGAATCAACTTCAGGGACATTGGTGAGCCATGCTCACATTTTTTGGCTTGTTATTTGAGTTAGATGACCAGTTACAATACTTAATTACTGTAATTAGCTTGTAAAGGATCAATGGTGTACTGGGGTAGAAGGGAGCAAACATAAATCAACAACCAATTCATATTTGCGAATGTTCTTAATAGATGTATGTATAATATTATCCACAATCCTCTTACTTGGGGTACTGTAAATAGCCTAAATGTTTTATTGGTGAATTTTGAAAATAAAAATTTAATTAATTACATTTGAAGTTTGTTGCATCTTCATGTTGTTTAGCAGATGGATAAACTGCACTTTGCTTGTATTGTTGCAAATGCGCTCAAGCAGTTGGATAAAACTGCACTTTGCTGGTATTGTTACAAGTGCAATCGAGCAGATGGGTAAAGCTGCACTTTGCTGGTATTGTTACAAGTGCAATCGAGCAGATGGGTAAAGCTGCACTTTGCTGGTATTGTTACAAGTGCAATCGAGCAGATGGGTAAAGCTGCACTTTGCTGGTATTGTTACAAGTGCAATCGAGCAGATGGGTAAAGCTGCACTTTGCTTGTATTGTTGCAAATCTTCATACAAACAGTTTGGTAAAGCTGCAGTTTGGTTGTATTACTGAGTTGGCGGTCGATGACAGGAATGTGGAAGGTTGGAAGTTCAACCATGACACACCTAGGAGACACTTACAGTTGGCTCTCCTTACCCTGGCTGGTGCTGAGCGTAATGGGATGAAACAAGGACTAGCCGGATCCCAGTTCGTGTAATGTATAGAGTGGGTTGTTCATGTTAAACGGCTACATATCCCAGTGAGCCAGCACTATAAACATGCCAATGTCTGGAGAGATACATTAGTTGGTTGGTTAGTTGTTAAACGCCGCACTCAGCAATATTCCAGCTATATGGCGGTGGTTTGTAAATTATCGAGTCTGGACCAGACAATCCAGTGATCCACATCATGAGCATCCATCTAAGCAATTGGGATACATTGACATGTGTCAACCAAGCCAGCGAGCCTGACCACCCGATTCCGTTAGTTGCCTCTTACGACAAGCATGGGTTACTGAAGACCAGTTCTAACCCGGAGCTACAAGCAGTTGCACATGACGTTAAACTCCATTTCGACTCGTTGTCCGGACGTGTAGTTCGTTATGGCCCAAATGGTCTTGTATTGCTCTGTTGTCTGGTTTAACGAGGTTCCGGTGGAGTATTGACCATACGAAGCCGGTTCAGAATAATTGTATCGCTACCGTTGTTTCACTTGGGACCCTAGAGATTCGATCACTTCAGAGACTTGTCAAAGGTTATTGTATTACACGATAAAAATAAATAACACACACACAAACAAAAACATATCAAACAAACGACGTGATTAATGACAGTTTGAAGCCGCACGAGGTGTATTCCATCCGTTGGTAACCTTGATCTTATCACAGGTTCAAAGAGCAAAGTGTGACTTGTTCACGTTGAGCGCCTCCCCTCAGCATGGGTAGCCATATTAGGTGACTCAGGTACAGCAAGATAGCCAGTCAGGACCGTTGGAGTGTTTATTTGAATGAGGCTGCCGAAACCAAACCTCTAGCTGTAACTTGGGGTCTGTGTGGAGGAGACAGCATTCCTACTGACCTATTTACGAGTCAAATCAATACTGAAAAATAATGAAGATTTTATTTGTAAACATTTACAATATTGTAATGAAATACCGCCCGGACACTTATTTTTTCAACGGATTTCCAGACCCGTCGCTTATTAGAGGAAATGCGGTATTCGGTGTTGTGTATGTTAGGGAGCGGGGATATGAGACATGCATGTCATGTATTACGTCAGGTGGCGGTTACATTTGTTTAGAGTCGGAAAACTGACCTCATACAATCGAAATCACGGAAGTAATTTTGAATTCCAATATCATTTCCTCGTGTCGGTTGCAGTTTATAATTCCCACAGTTACTACATTCTGTTCCCAAAGTCAGCATTTAAATTCTGGAAATTTTCCTTATGGAGTCAAGTGGCAAAAAAAAATAACTGAAAGACGTACTCACTTCAACGGTAATAAGGGTGAAAGAGTTATGTCCCCTGAACCAAATGTTATAATGGTGAAAAAAGTTTGAGAGACGACGGGCGATATTCACCGGGCTTTCATTCATTAAAATGATATAAATATGAACTTCCTATCAAAATGAAACAGTACATAGACAATCTTTGGAAAGACCGTCTTTTTTAATGCACAATCATGGGCTGCTAACGATTATTACGGTATGTTATAAAAATAATCTAAGAACTGTATGTTGCATTGAAGATTTTTCAGTTTCTAAGTCTCTTTATAATTTTGGAAATAACCGAATCTTGGTTAATCATCGTCATCTGCCTACCCTCCAGTTTCAGTTGTCTGGGTATGGCATTTTTATATATTTTAAGCTAAAATCATGTCGCCACTTGTTATTTTATATATATGGCTCGACTGACGCATGCTAAAATGCAGTTACAAAGGTTGTATGACAACAGATCTATCTAATGCAGAAACCTCAGTGTATTTTCATGATAATACACTGTTCAACACAATAGGCCACGATAAGTGTGCTTAATTAAACAGGGAAAAAACCACACTTTAAAAATAAGAGAATGCAATTGAACAAATACCACAGGCAATGAATATCTTGGTGATTCATGTTGGAAGGGGAAAGTGGTTTGTTTATATTTAAATAGCACAGATATATCTATAA